GGGGGCAAGAGCGGAACGGCGTGGAGATACGCGAGCAGCGGATGGCGGGGGGCGGGAGCGTGCCGTGACGGGCAAGAAGGCGGGACGAACCGGGCCGTGGCCAGAGCCGTGCGGGGACAGTCCAGGGCGGGGCAGGAGGTGGTAGCCGGGGAAAGGGCGCAGCGGGCAGGAGCTGTCGGGCGGGAGGAGGCGCCGGGTGGGCAGAATGTTGCGGGCGAAAAGTGACGGGTGTGGACGGGGGAGGGACCGGGGTGCGGCGGGGCGATCGTGAGCGCGGCGAAAGGCGCGGGGCAGTAGCTGGGCGGGGCGCTCCTGCGCGGAGGCGGCGCGTGGGCGGGCCCGGTGCACGCGGTCAGGGCGGCGCACGCCGAGTGGGACGCGCCTCCGCCGATGGGAAGGCCGGCCGAAAGGACGAATGCAAGAGGCGTTCGACTGTCCTCCACGGGAGAGAGCGAAAGGGAAATCTCTGAAGCAGATTGCTGGTTTTCGAAGAGGCTCTCCGTCGATCCTTTGTAGTACTCGCTCTTTGCTGTTGCCGCTTATTCAACATCCTCTTTCCCACAAGTCTTCCAAGTCTTTATTTTAGCTCATTTCCAATTTGTGTCTCCTCTTTTGTTGATGTCAGCTATTGGTTGGCCTTTCATTCGGTCTTTCACTTATATTAATTTTACGGATTTTTATCATGTGAAATATTATTAACACAACGTCTGCTTTCCATTAAATGTGTAGGATGGTAACACCTGTTAGAACTGTAGGAATATTATTCCAATATTTTCGCTATATGTCTTGCGAAGCAAACCATCATTTCCACCCGTGTTGGGTCGTTTGACGAGAATGTCTCCAATCATTAGTCTAGACCTAAATTGCACTAGGTGGCCTATTCGGATGGATGAGGTCACCAGAAGCCGTGGGTTCTTCCGCGTAACGCAATGTACGAGTTGACAAAAGCTATAGGAGGAACAATGATGTCCGACTACGGTGATTTGATCCTCCGAAACCTGTCTCTCGAAGTTTTATGTTTGTAAACGAGTTTCGCGTTTTTTCTGACACTGTCATCGAGCTCAGCTTGTTAATTTAAAGCTGTTGATGTGATCGTGTGGCGGTCGGTCACCAAATTAACGCTTGCCGTAAATATATTATAAAACTTGGCGCTTTAAATATTAATTTTTACTTATTTGTTGTTGAAAAATTACAGGGAGGGGGGTATAAACTCAGGAGGAGGAAATTTCGATATTGATGGTTTATCGATGTCTCTTACTATTTTGACACAGGATATGCGTGGGAGTGTCATTCTAATGGAGAGAAGCGTCCGAAGTAGCGGTGGAGGTGAAGGCGGTGGCGGTGACGGCGGTGGCGGTGACGGCGGTGGCGGTGAAGGCGGTGGCGGTTGTGGTGGCGCCTCACTGCCTCGTGGAATGTGGGGGCGTAACTATCAAAGCTCAAGGACCCGGCCGAATTCCATATTTCTCCTTCCATATCGAAGCTCCGTTTTATCCTTTATCCAGGGTTCGTGTTAGAAGCCACGAAGTGAATTAGCGGTTCTTTTTATCTTTTCCCTCGAAAACCGTCGAGTATACCGTATGCACAAAATGAGGACGGAAGTGAATGCTGTATTTTCCATTATTAATAATTCTCCAGACGTTATGCTCGAGTTTAAATTCATGTTTGTTGGGAAATTACAAAATCTTTAATTTCATTTTCTCCTTTTTACAGTGGTACTAATGCCATGAATTATTGGTTCACGTTTCGAAGTTCGTACGTCCCAAAGTTGATATACGTATTCTCTTTACAATGAGTTGAATAGTTTTAATGTTAATTCTCATTTAATTTAACGAATTTTCCCTTGACCTCAAATATAATATCGTTTATCAATTTCTAGAACTGATCCTGGAGGAAACAATGTTTAACAAACGCAGTGCATTTGGGGACGAGCTGGGCTTTTTACCCAACGCAAGTTTTCCCGTATTTTTATTTACAGCTGGTTTTGATTTTTTTTGCTAAGAGTTAGAAGGAGAAATAAAAAAAAATATTACTGCTTCCATCTTACGTTTTGTTTTTTTTAATAAATTTCGGCACATGTATTACAGAAATTGATTTCATTAGAATTTTGTCATTTTGATAACTTTTGAATCGATCATTAAATGGGAGTGGGTCAGGTATTTCTACCAAAAATTAGCGGCGAGAATTACATAACAAGTTAATAAGAATTGGATTGAAATCATGAATAAAATCAAAATGATTATGCACAAATATTATCTTGCAATGCAAATATCATCATCTAAAAGTTTATAATTGCCCGAACCATTCTTCTTCTTTTTCTTCTTTTTCTTCTTTTTCTTCTTTTTCTTCTTCTTCTTCTTCTTCTTCTTCTTCTTCTTATTATTATTATTATTATTATTATTATTATTATTATTATTATTATTATTACTATCAACATTAAATGTGGTGATTTGTGAAATATTGAACTGATTCTGAGGCTTTGAAAGATTGTTGAAATTTGTGATGTTGAAAAAGTTTATTAGATGCTAACAAAGTGGGGGCTGTAATCAGCTCTATTTTTAAACCACGTAACTCAATCACCACAGATCTCTGCAGCAAATCGTCCTTACTTGCACTAATTCACCAAGACTCTCATTAAGCATTACGTTTCCTTTGGGAGTGATTAACTACGTGTTCACCGCATTAATAGGACAGCATAGCGACATTAATAGTGCTCAAGGCCGAGCTGCCTTGAGCACTACGCCCTGAGGAAGGTCGCAAAATGGCGACCGAAACGTCGGCACCTTCGCCATGGCGCGGCGTCACCCGGACAGTCTCATACTGACTCCGGCCGCGGAAGCTTACACTCTCACCAGCCTTGAGCACGTATCAGGTGCAAGCAACAACGCTATGAGTGCAGTCTGGGGAGCGTAAATGAAGAGCCGAATTCTTCGCTCGGAGATACATCCCATTGTCTGCTCACCCCCCGCCCGCCCACTCTCCCGGAAGTGCCGAATGAGACGGGCCCGGGGGCGCTGCAACTGTCGGTCTGCGGTGCCTCTGCCGCGTTGCGGGGGCGAAGCCGCCGCTTTTTCGGACGCGAATGCGGCTGGGGCGGCGTATGGTTGGAAGAAGTTTGCTCGCTGGATTGTTTGCTGGGTTGAGGGGAAGTACTAAGCTCTAGAGTGGTCGCGGTTCTGAAGTTTCTGGTTGTGGTTTTGGTTATGGACTTGTCGTAACCTACTCAGTGGATGGCTGATTTTGGGAGAAACAATTTGTGTGTTCGTATCTCTGTGAGCGTAAAAGAGTCCATTTTTGTTCATTTGCTCTTTTGCGAGTGCCTGAATTATTAACGATGAGCTTAATTCTTCAGTGGAATGAATTCAATCAAATTGCAATTGACTGTCAACAGACACAGCATTTCTCAATCCTACGATAATTTTCCTGGCATCTTATCTTCAAGGCTGTATGTTCATTTAAACAGCTGTGATTTCAAATACTCTTTATTTACAGCTATCAATACCTCAGGGCATTTAGGAGAATTTCAGTCAAGATTATTAAATATTCTTAACTTATTTATAACAGCAGAAAACATATAGTTTCTTGTAAATTAGGGGACGAGATAAGTTAAAACAATTATTATTATTATTATTATTATTATTATTATTATTATTATTATTATTAATTTCTTTCCTAAGGAAAGTTTGGTGTAAGAATGCTTTAGAACTCAAATTTTTCGGTTTTCCAGATGACTCACGGATCTAGTGATTAGCGTCAACTCAAGCTAATCGGATAGGAACTTTGGACACCGCTATCAAATGTAAGTACCAGTTTCAAACTCAGTGATGTTTACAATGATGAAAGTGCAGAGTTTAACTAGTTACAATAACTCAAACACATTTTTATTAATATTTATTTATAAAATGTAATTTAAAATTACTATTTTACTTTTAACTACTACTCAAGTACTATTTGAAATTTATGAGTTTTGTTGAGTCGACAGTCGTCAGTGTGTCGTCTGCTTAAGGTTGTATGTTTAAAAGTAATAACTCATAGGAAAGCGTTAAATTCAATTTCTGGTAAGAAACGTTTTAGGGATTTTTATTATAATCTCTTAATAATGTACAAAGACTATTACGGTACCACCTTAGTAATGTACAAGCGTTGCTAAGCAACACACGAATATTACCAAAACTCCAATATTCGTTCAGTTTATCGTTTTTTAGGAAAGGGTAAGGATAACAATATGTTTCAGACAAAATTTAGAATATTTAAAGTGATAAATTTGGAAAGATTTTAAATAGTTAATCAAAACACTTTTTTATTAGAGCATAGAAAAATTAAATAATAATATACACTAGGAAATTTGCAACTTTTGAATAATATTTTTGCGCAGCCAAAATATTAATTTATGCCATACAGACAGTTGTGAAAAACAGACCTTACAATTTGCTGCAGCAAAATGGACGTTCATTTCAAAAATGCACAACCAATTCCCATAATCGCGTATCAGTTCAAAGTACTACCATCGTTTTTTCATACATATTGAATATGCTAACGTTGTAGGGAGTTATAGATATCTTTTTCTTGGTGTGTAGTTGTAGTCACTAATACTTTGACCCTTGAATTTAAGGCGACAGTGTTCAGCATATTCACAGAGAGGTGTCCTTATTCGTGTGTAAAATAATGACTTTGTTTCTTGTAGTTTTGACCGAGAGAAAGAGTGTTCATGTAAGAAAGTCCTTTTGTTGGATTGAAGAAGTCCTTTCATTATGATCCAAATGAATTTTAATCCAATTACTCTTCAACGGTAATAAACGAGATTAAAAGCGAATTGTTCCATACGTCGTCGTCGTCGTTCGTTCCGAAGCACTGCAACGGAGTCGTATGTCGGAGGCGGCGCAGCCAAGCGCGTTAGCGGCGGAGCGGCGGCGGCTGCGAAGACCACTGTGTGGAACCCGCAGCCGCCGCCCCTCCCCCTCCCCGACAGCCACGGCCGCCTCAGTACTTGCCGCCACCCTCGCCGCTTCCCACCGCAAACTCTTCGACTTCGCCCTCGCCA